GGGAACGCTATCGTATTTTGACGATAAAATAATTTATATTATATTTTACAACCCTTGTTTTTGCGGTAGTTTGACGTCAAGAATGCCAATGAATACAATGTGCCGGTTATCGGTGTTACTATCTGCGCAATTTTTTGGAAGAGTGAGCCTATGAATGGTACTTCTGATAACATTAGTTTGCCTCGCTGCAAAAATTGAGTTCCGAGCAACGCCGGATTTGGATGCATGGTTGTAAATATGATTCGACATGCTCTATCTTGCCGCCTGAACCCGCACAGTGTCCAATTTTATGAAAGTAATGAACATTCAAATTTACGTCGATATTGTCATATGCTTGGGAACGTTTATTAAGATTGCTTATAGTCATGCAATGACTGCCTGCAATATATGCACCTGCCCAGAAATATTATTTTTTAACGAAACCTAAATGGAAAAATAAGAGAATTGAACGCCCAGACGAGCTCCAGTATAGTTATAGTTAAGTTTCGTATCAAGATCACTTGCCTGCCAAGATCATAAATTCACAAAAAATTAAAAGCGAATAAAATTGCCACAAAATTTACCATTTCTTTTTATGATAAAATGTTTCGAAGTCCAGCTCCATCGTCAGTTCAAAATCCTAAGAAACAAGCATAATCAATTAGTAAACTAAAATTCACATCTAAGATAATAAATGAAGATAATAAAACACTAAATTTAAGAATGAAAAGACAAATAAACAAGAGCAGACATGCCCATCTATTTACAATTCCAAGGGATCGGAACTGAATGCGACATTTACACTATGTTTCTAATCAAAACAAAACATGCACGGATTTTAAAATTCGTTGGTCAAAAACACCGGCTTGTAAATATTTTCCGTGCTTTTAAATTTTTAGTTAAGTTTCAATTCTAGACTCGACTCACTTGACGCCGACGTTGATGCCCTGAAACATTTAATAATTTTTAATGGGCTCTCGGTATAGGCCCTCCGGCCTTCCCACAGCCAATTATATACTCAATTCTTTTGCTTGCAATGTTTATCTCAGTCGTGAATGGTAACGTTGACAATAATTATTAACCACGTCACAAATTCATACTTCCCCTCAATAATTACAGAATCTCATTCTTAATGCAATACCTAATAACATTCTCTTGCTATAAGCAAGAGAATGTACATTATATGTACATTACATGTACATTATGTACATTATGTACATTATATCATGATGAGTTTGCCTTCTCTATATCACGTAAGGTTTTTGTCGACATTGATAATTAATAACTTATAGAAGCGTATAAATTGTTTCCTTCGCCGAATATTACGAGTTCAGAAAAGCATGCAAAATATCGAGCGAAATAAATTGTTTAAATGGAATTAGTTTATATGGTCAATGTTTAGTCGCAATTCTGTATTCCTTATGCCATGTATTGTTGGAGTTAAAGCCTGTCAGCATTGTATGTGTGTGATAAGTTTGAAATGGTGAAAACATTTCTACACAATGTAATAAGCACTTGAAATGGGCGTTCGCTTGGAAATATTGTTTTACCGAATCACTCGCTATGAAATATATGATGCTTATAAGGATAATGCAGCGAAGTGAATGAATAGCACAGAATACTAGATATGTTGCTTCTGCCCTCTTATCTCAGGAGTTAAGTCATGGAACACAGGCTTCTGCTGGACCCGATCACAGGAACCAAATAATATCACAAGTAATTTAGTCCACATCTACAGCTTATGCTTAATTAATATCGTATCTCACTAATCAAAACAAAATAACTTTCTGGGGATATATTGCATGAAGAGATCAATTCACAGGGTTTAATGCAACTACCACAAATGACCTCAAGACGACAGAAGTGCAGCAACATCAACTGGCCAAGTGGTCCTGGCTCAGTTGATATGCAGTACTACTCATTAATTTCTTTTCAAATAATGAGCTGGATTGTGATTCATATTAAATTTAATTCGGAATAAAATTGTTCAATGAATTCGACCCTAAGTTTTAGAAGAATTGAACAAAATAAATGCAACAACGTAGTCGAAACCACTTCGAATTTAGTAGAAAATACGAGTATGCAATCGTACACAGTGAAAGAATTCACTAATTTTTTTTAAATCTGAGACGATGTGCTTTGCAAATAGTTCTTTGTGAGCCGATTTTGCGGAAAGCTCAGGCGCGATGGTTATACAATAAGTTGCCGTCAAAAAAATTTAATAATAAGCTGGCTTTTAGGCCCCACAGGCCGTTTTGTTGTATATGATTTGTTAAATTTATGAAAACAGTAGCTCCCCATATCATCAATTAACATCACATTCTGCACATTTAGTGTCAATTTATGCTGATTATCATGCAGAGACTTGATACTGAGACCGACATTGAGGCGAAGTTCGACAATAGCGCGGCCGACGTGAATTTTGACGTGATTTCCTTCAAATTTTTTTCTGTTATCTTACTTAGTAAATCAAGCAAGGTCTACCTTTCCTACTGCCATCAAAATAGATTATCTCAGCCAAGGGAGTAAACACAACTGATATTATTGCAGTCTTATGAGGAGTCGGCAGAGGAGACAACAGCTCTCTGTTGCTGGTTTAATTGCAGTTGCGTCGGAAATTGTATTCTTTTCACAGGCATCTTCAATCTCAAGTGGTCTTTGAAAATACTTATTTGGCAACAAGGCTCTTGAGTGTTAGGAGATAAGAATTATAATACTATAGTGCCGACAACTTGATAGCGTTGTCTGTGTGATGGGACACGTTATCAATATGAAGGGAAGTGGGACCGTCATTATAGGTGGAATTCAATTACGCAATAATTTAATTCGTTGGTTATCAAGTGAAACCTCAACTTTTTGGTTATAATTATTCATAGCAGAAAGAGTTTGGCTCGAGAGGAGTTTGGAATTGTGAGTCCTCCAAACTATTACTTCTATTAAAAAATGTTTCACATGCATCTTCTAGCATCCTGCTGAATTTATGTAAGCATTCAACCAAATGACTCATTTACTATACTGTAGATCATTCAAGTAATGAAGAATTCGTAATGTAATTTAAAATATCATTTGATTATTGATGCGCGAACGAAAATAGATTGTAATTTTTCTCACTTCAATCGACTTTATTGAAGGAAAGCACAGATCTTTATCGATCTAAATGCTATAAAAACGAAATAGTCTCATTTATATTGACCCATCATATATTAGGACCAAAAAAATTGCCTCCGAAGCCTTATTTTAAACACCAATAGAATAAAATTGCCACAGCTGTATGAGCCGTCAGCCAGCAATTGAAGCTATGTTTCATTACCAGGTGTATGTGGGTGCCATTCATTTGACAGTGATATAATTTGAAAGTGATCGATGATGTAAGTCATTAGCTTGGAGATCTCTTAATATCAATAATTAATCTTTATTTGTAAACTTCCTTTCGTTCACATTTCATTCACATACCAGCTAGACGAGCACGATACTGAATTCATGGCCAACATGCAAATGCACCTTGACCAGCGTTTCTTATGAAGACACTTTCAATCTTTTCAATCTTCACTTATGATAAGAAATTCCTCAGCTGATATGAACGAGTTTACGATGCGGGTTATTAAGTTTCTAGTTATCTGTAATTCAGTCGAGCGCGATCTGTGTGTCAAGACGGCTACCCGTCAACACCTTCAGCACCAGGCTAAATATTGCAGTGAATTAACTATTGTTAGGCCATTAATCACGCCCCATCTCTTAATCATTTCACCCTCAAAAATAGCCGCAGAGAATTTTCCTCTCGGTACAGAGAAGTGCAATAATTATTATTGTTGTTCATTATAAATGAAATTAACTTTTCATTCCGATAATCCCCTTGTATGCAAGGTTACGAGTGATATGTGTAGATTGGTTCTTTCACAATCGATACCTGCTGGCTTTCCTTATTGATGTAACTTTGTGCATAACGCAGGCTCCGTGAATTGGGAGTATATCGACAGTCAGTTGAGCTAAACGCTCCGGAGTGACTTATTGTTATTAACAGGATTATTGTGTAACATAAAGTATATAATTAAAAAAATTTGCAGTATGTTGAAAGAAATAGTGCCGTCATATCACCCATTGCATGAGAGAAATACAGTTTCTGAAAAAATTGAGGAGTAAACTTTGTACTCTGATCCCTGGTGGGGTCCTTGAGAGTGACAAAAATTTCGTGCTTGCTCGATTTCCCCCATTTAAGCAAACATGGCTGTTGTTTACCTTTCAACCGAACTTGGCTGTTCTTCATTTTTATCGCATTTGGTATCTCTTCTATCGCATTTGGTATCTCTTCTTTTCAGAGCCGAAATTAGTTATTCTTCTTCGCTCAACCTATAATGTTTTCTTTTCTTTAGTCGATCCAAATTCTTTGATATTCATTACTCGACCGAACTAGGTTACTAGACTGTCCTCATATTTCCAGGTAGCAGTCGGCCTTAAGTTACTTTGTTACTCGAAAGCCTAATTTTTTGCCGAATATAGTATTTCCCGGGCAAGACTACAAAGTATCGTTGCACAGGATATTTTTCAGCGAATTTCTGTTGTCAAGGCCATATCCTGCCTCTATTTGCTCAACGTCTTTCAAACATCACCAAATTCTAACTTCTTACGAAGCTATAGTCATTGTAATAATATCAAGTAGAAGTAGTGTAGAAATTATCCAAGCTTTAATAATGGATTTCTATAGTTATTATATCACTGTAATGAACAAGGACCTTCATGTATCAACGGAAGGCAAAGTTGTTACATAATTCCATTCCCGTTGTTAATTGCTTCAAATTTCATCATTGCCGCTGACATTTGTTTCATGGGCCGCTGCAGGAATAGCATGACTTGAGCAAATTGTCTATCATAATTGTTAGTATGTCATATTGGATAATTTGTTGCTGTAATTTTTTGTGTATCTGAACTGGACTTCGAAATTGAATTCTTCATCAGACAAAAAATTAATTTTCCCACTTGGTTCCCATTCTTAAGTGTCATTATTTGGCAAATCTATCTTTCAGATCCATTACTCATTTTAATGCAATAATTATAATATTAATAACAAAGCATGCAGTAATCGTTAAACTTCTCATGTGAAAGAAACGCCGTCCAAGCATGGCTCTCTACGAATTCTGTTCCTGAAGAGCATTTACCACAGCTTCTAAGAACTGCATGCCAGTTTATTTCTTGCATTTCATCGCCTGCAGGCGTCATGCACTGGTTCGCAATGCTGTGTTTCTTGTTGTTGCCGGTTACTCCAAACGCATTTATGATCTCTTATCTTCCGCCACAAAATAATATCATACTCAGTGATGCTCTCAACCTGAAGCAAAATATCATCAGTTCTTTAAACCACCATATTGTAATAGAGCGGCTTAGCACAAATCCCTCAGTGAATTTAGCTTCAACGACCGAAACCACTCGTGATAATGCTTCTGAAAACGCCGAACTACAAAGAATTGAATTCGAAAACTCAACTACAAATACGAACACCGACGCGACGTCCCCAGCCGATCCAAGCGATGTTGGTTGTGAGAAGAACCAGACGTTGGGCATGAAATGCACTCCGTATAACAGCTCCAGCGAAGAGGTCTTGAAGTGTTCCGGAGAAGGTTTACTGCGAACCACTCTTCTGTTTGGAATGTGTCTGACTATGACAGTCATCCTTGTAGGCGGGATTGGCAATGGAATCACAATTCTCATACTTATTCATCAAATGATTCTAGGACAAAGACAGCAACAGATTCGAACGACAGCATCGTCGGTTCTTGTGCTAAACCTTGCCATTGCTGACTTGTGCTACAGCGTCTTGTGTCTGCCCTTCGTCTTCTCAATTTACCTCATCATATTCAGATCAGGTCTAGTAAGTTGTTGTGCCAATATGAAATTTTTTACGGAATTTCGTTCCTTGTAATGTATTATAACTTAATTGCATCTCGCGAATTTAACGTACGAAAAGAATTGGTTATCGCTTGAACATCAGAGGGTGCATACTTGATCACATCGTTTGGAGCAAAATTGTGCCATTTGTGATAATAAAAGATTACTGAATGAAGTTTTCGCACGTCCTCAGGATCTCGAAGCTCCGCTCTCACATGGATTTGATACCAAGTGTCAGTTCTCGGCTTTCTTCCGCTACACGAACGCCATCTCCGAGTGGACTACGATCGGGCTTATGGCTCTTGAAAGGCGAGTTTCAAGTCAGGGTAATATGGAGTTCAGCACCACCTAATTTAATTAATAAGTCAATCGGATAATCCTTATTGAATTTTAATTTTTGAAATTAGATTTTATATTAAAGGAATCAATTCATGAAGCTGGATGGGATATAACTTTGATAATCTGAATGCTAACATCTTCGGCAAGTAATCAGGAATAGACACCAATTAATATTGTGCACTAGCCATTTTACGCAATAATATTGGGCGTCTAGGTTGAAACGGTAAAGTATCAGGTATCAGGTCTTCGGCACCAGGTAATACGATTGATGTCGTCCAAAAAGAGAGCGCAGCCGTGCATCACCAATTTTGTGCACCTATCCGTCCTGAATCGAACGCCCTGCATATTTCCGTAATACCATCTATCAGCCGCGTATTGATCCTGCCGTCAGTAACCAGCCCATAACATCTTATTGTTTTAAATATGTAGCGGTTTACGCTAACCTTATTCTGAAGCGAATAGCCCAGAGTGTGATGATCGTCCCCAAAGATCATTACATCGAATCGTCGCTTCACATCTTCATTACATCGCCTGAACATCCGCAGGTTCATCACGATCAGTCGATATGCTCGGTGGCAGAAAGGCGGCTACCGCTGGTTCACTCCCAAAAAGTCTGCGTGTTACTGCCTCATGATTTGGATAGTGGGTGTCGGCTTGCAGCTGCCAACGCTTCTCGAGGTGAAATACGCTTCACCCTCCGATTATTTCTTTCCTCGATGAAAATTTTGAAATAATAATCTTTCTTACTCAATATAACCTTTATCCTTCGTCATTGTGAGACATTTGAAATAAATGTAACCATTGTTTCAGGACAATTATATACACCATTTGCACTTCGACAGTAAAATAACTACCTACATTACTTGAACAGGCTGGCCCGTTTTTTGGAAAATTCGGCTACAACACTGACACTGTAAAGTGCGACTTTGTCAGTGATCAACCTGAAAATTTCGGAATGCGTGACGTCTTCTTTCTGATGGAGGCTCCCGTTCCGTGTGTTCTGATACTCGTGGGTTACATCGCCATCATTGTACGCATCAAAAGCAGTACTCGGTTCATGAAGAAATTTGGGTGAGGTCTGCTCTTTAAGCTCAAATCAAAGTATTTAATACCTTTTTCAAAATTGTACACGGACACTAATTTTCACTGATTTAGTTTTTGCAGAAATATTTCTGTATTTGAGAGATTTACTTGGGCCGGACTCACACCATACTGCCGAGCATGTGCCAGGCATATGACCGGTCACGGTCCAGTCTGATATTCTTGGGTGCATTTCTACAGAGGCATACACACCGCAGGCATGGCAGGTGCCATGCACGACTTGTATGTGTGAATGCTTCTATAGAAATTCATTGAAACCTCATTCACAATATACTGACGAGCACGTGCCAGACAAATGCCAGTCTCGGTCCGTTCCCTGTAAGTGCATTGAAAGTTTTTATTTTCAGATTTTCTGACGTCCCGGTCAAATTATTTTTTACCTCGATCGTGGGCGGATCGTGCCTGGTCTTAATTGCACGGCTGGTGTGAATGCTTGAGCAGAAATGCATTAAAGAATATTGGACTGGACCTGAGTGGACCGTGACCGGCATATGACTGACACGTTCCCGGCAGTATATGGTGTGAACCAGGTTTAAGGAAAAGGTCGATGGAAACCGTTCAAGTAGTCATTTTTCTTACGATAAAATTCTCGATCAGCTTCTATACGTAATGTACAGTTTACAAAATCGTGAATTACAGTCATTGTTAAGTGATGAAAGAATAACTGGGCGTTCGCACTGAGAAAAACCTGGAGGCGAAATTCACTCGAATGAGTCGATTCACTTCATGACCCTATCATTCTTATCAATGTTCGGTTATCAGAATCATTACCATTAAAGTATGTAATAAGAATAAATTAATGGATATGCTTTCTAATATCTGATCCTGCTTAACCACATATCATTTGTTTGTTTTTCTCGCCACTCGCTCGTTCTGAATAGTTCATCCAATATCCTCCTAATGATAATTTAGCATTACTTCCATCAATTGATGTATGTTAGCTGACCTATAGGAAGGAAGCTGAAATTGTATATTCAAGTGACAATTTGCCCTCTTCATTCCAGGACTACTGCGTGTCACATGAAGATCGCCATGCGCAACAGCAAAACTACGGGTTTGTGCTTCAAACTGATCTTCGTTTACCTCGTGTGCGTTGTCCCTGTATGCGTGTGGAATGGGGCGATTCCCGAAGATGAGCTTGGCAAACCGTGCAACCAAATCTTGGGGATCTACATTTACTGTTTTTACTGGATCCAGTATGCAGCCAATAATTTTATTTACGCCCGATCGATACCTCGGTACAGCAAAGCTGCCAAGCAATTGTTGCACGCCGTGATACCTTGCTATTTTCGGCCAGATGAACATAGTTTCAATCTGAAAAAGGCTCCGAAGAGGGAACTTGTAGTGAGTGTTATTTCAATGGAGAAGTGTCATAACCAAGATTCCGTCGTAAAAATGTCTTCGTCTGTGAAGAACAGTGACGAAATGACAAGCGATTGCGAATTTTCATCTAACTATTACATTACACTATTATTCTCATCGCCTTCACTTCGTGACGAATGTGTCAATGACTCACGCATTTCGACTGGCTTCACTGATGATGACTCAACTCTGCAAAGTTACTTGATGACATGCCAACTACGCCCGAAACATTCCGTCTACTCTGAATGGTCCTTTACAGGCGACCGCCCGGGATCTCGTCCAGGGAATAACTCGCTCGTACCAACGCTTCCACGTCGCAAAAGAAGCTCTTCGGATGCTGGACAGGTCGCTGACTCCGCTAGAAACTTCCAGCGGAAAATTTCATTTTGAATGCCATGATTAATATTATTCATTACATGCATACTACCGATAAATGAAAATAGTATAAAAAATTCTTCGCCACGTAATATTTGTCGACAATTGAAATTGATTAACATCCATGTTGAATTTCGTCTCGATTTGCTGAATTGTGATGATTTAATCTCTGAATGTGCATGAAATATAACCTTCCGTATCAGGACTACTTGCTGCACATCAAGGCTTGCGATATTTTAGACCAAGTTACCTGTATTTTAGAGATCGATTTGAACCTAATATATTATTCAAAATCAAAATATTCTAGGTTTAGCGATCAATGTTATCTCTATATGGATAAGATTAGGTTAAGACGGATGAATGTCCGACTTTTGAGATTTTTATTTTTGTTAAATAAACATAGCTGATGTGTTTAATGATTTGCTGTACAAAACTNCATGAAACAATTATCATAGAAGCCACTTGTTAGTACAGTTATAAATGTGATGGCATTGTCTGACTGTTTAATCTCAATAAAATATAGTACGAATGTGGAATTTTCATCCGTTTGATTGCTGAGCCATTGACTTACATTTACATGGCGACTGAATTACTCAGATTAACGTAAATTTTATTTCTCAGCACGTAATTCAAAGCAGGTGTCCACGCTGGATGGGGCCGGAGAGCTCAATATATCAAAGTTGAAAGCGTAATGTAGAAATAGGACGTGCTTCTCAAATGAAAATTTTCGCAAATACGAAACATTATTGATAAATTGAGGCATATGTATGGGGAACACCCTGCCTTTGCTCTACTGCATGGAAGATCTGGCAGCGGAAACAGTAGAGTTATTGGTTGATGAGACCAGAGCATTTAAAGACAATATCAGCATGCAGATGTCTATTTTTGCATAGCTGATCGATTCTAGTTCGATTACAGAAGAGTCAATAGGCCAAAATGTATCGGTCTCTCCCGGCTTTTTTATTATAAGAATGCCCATTTAGCTTTTACTTTCTTTAATTGAGACTGAGACTCTAATTTAAAGATTTTCATAAAAATAATCATGGATATCATAGTTTTATCTCTTGCTCCACGCATACATTAACCGTTGTCAGCAATATTAGTACGCTATCATCGGAGACAGGGCTTCAATAGTTTTGCATACTCTCAAAAACACGTCCAGACTTCTCATAGCATTCAGCAACTCCAACGCGCAATCCTCGTGGGATTTACAAATAAAATATTTTCTTACAACCTTTTCTTAATTTCTATTTTCATGGAAAATGTGTTGAATTTATTGTTCTGAAGGCCATATTTTGTCGAACCTGAGGAATCAGATTCTACGGAAATAGATTACCGGAACATGATACTGCAATGTGATCGAATGATTGTACTGTAACATGATCGAATGATTGTACTGTAACGTGATCGAAAGATTTTCACTGTATGTACATTATACATACAGTTACGGGTTACTAACCTAACCGAACTAGTACGGGTTAGATACAGTAAATAAAAGAATGTAAGGTGTTCACTTCAGGCGGTTACCCCAATAACTCGTTACTATTAGAGGTTTAATGCTGATTTTCATATGAGTGTATAGGGCTTTTTTAGGCTTCATTTATGCAAACCATCTGCTTATAGCTGCTAAACTCATTCAGGACATAATTTCTTTCATGTTTCCTGGTCTTGTGTGTGAATATTTTTTTTTATTTTTTGTAGAAAAGAATGTGTTCAATTTGTACTGATTGAAAGCCAGTTTTCCTAGAACAAAATAATATTAAATGAAAATCATTTGAAGAAACAAAATCAGGGAATTGACTAATATCTCCGTTGAATTGGCAAATGTTGACTTTGTGAAAATGCCATATATTACCTTTATTGAAATATATATAAATATAGCTTGTTCGTAAGGTGAGAAATGAGAAAGTGTCTTGCAAATTTGCAATGATTTCTCTCTAAATAATAACAATAATATAATAAAGAGTTGTTAAAATAATCTAAGTTTTAATCAATATTGCAGAGCATTATAAAAAATGAAGATAAATAATTTATAACGTACTAAATTACTGAAGAACCAAGGGCGATTGCTGGCTTCGGAAGGTATTTGGCCTTCGCTCAGTTATATAGATCTGGCCTACATATATAGAGGGTCTAGAACGTTTGTATCACAAAAGAAGTATATGGAAAAATCTCACAGGAAAAAAATTAAAATTTGGTACACTTTTGTAAACTTCAGACTAAGACTGTTTAGTAAGAAATAATCCTGGAATATTCCTTTAAAGTACATCTCAATGGCAGACGAAGATTCTTATTATGGTGCTTTGGTAAATTCGTCTGGGATTGATTGAATTTCCACGATGAAATTTGCCATGTCCTCAACTAAAACACATTCCTTCTTCTCGCCGTTATCGATCGTGACGGTCAGAAATCTATGTAAATATAATAATAGCGGTTTCAGCGTTTATTTGGCCGTAGGCCTGTCGCCGATTCTTAACATCGCAGAACATTCACAGCTTGTTGCGGTCTCGAACTCACAACTCACTGCTCCAATTCTGCTGTGCTAAAAATGCTTGCAAGTGAGTGCAAATAACTTCGACTCTCTTAAATTCAACTCTTCTTCCCAATTAAAATATCTTTCTCGCGTGGCCAAGAAAAACGTTCGCTGCTGCATGGCACACTAGTTGCTCAAATTATGAATTAACTCATTGCAAAGATTCATTGCATTTATTAATAATCGGAAACGCATGTAAGTTAAGCATTCAATTATTATTCAAAGACAGTCAATATATGTAGTCTGCCGCTCCGTCTATCTAACCTCGAGTATAGTCGCGTGTCGTTGTGATAATAATAATATAATAGCGGTTTCAGCGTTTAGTAGGTCGCAGGCTTGTCGCCGATTCTTAACATCGCAGAACATTCACAGCATTTTGCGGTCTCGAACTCGCAACTCACTGCTACAATTCTGCAGTGTTTAACCGCCCGGCCTCCTTGCCGATTCTGACCAGAAACTGGCGCACAGAGCTGGGATCGAACCCGCGCCTCTCTGCGCCAATCTTGGTACTGAGTCTATGATTGGTGGATTTGGCTTGAAAGGCCGTCAATGATTGGCTGATGAACTTACGATCTCTTAACTTTTTTTGAAGGTATAGGCCCTGAACTTTAAATATATAAATGAGCAAAAATTCCTATGACTTTCAATCGTTTTAATTGATGTTTTTAATATCCCTTTTCTAACGTTTACTTGATATTTTTTCATGCTTGCTAAGCACGTCCATAAAAAGCTTGCGGGAATAATTTATTTAATCGCTTCAAGTGCGGGCAGCGCGCTATAACCTCGGTTGCGATAAATTAGATTTCTTTTGATAAAGGATTTTCAGAGCTGGGCAGCGCTACTTTGAAATGTAGCGGCGCTACCGCAACCGCTACATGCTCTAGATGTAGCGGGCGCTACCGCTACCGCTACACCCACTAGATTGTAGCGAGCGCTACCGCTACCGCTACAGTAAAATGTAGCGCCGCTACAATGGCCAAAATTATTGGAAATCTCTAAATATTTATTGTTCTGCTATTGGGATTTACTCATAAACATTTAATGACAGTAAAACATTTTCAAAACATATCAATGCAACTTTATAGCAATTAACCTAACCGAACTAGTACGGGTTAGATACAGTAAATAAAAGTTACAGTTATTTTTATTATTACAACACTTCTCTTTAACTTCACTTCTTGTTTGTCTGTCTGTCTGTCTGTCTAGCTGTCTGTCTGCTACAAATCTTATAATCGAAATTAGACACACTTCTACTTATCCTATCGATCTGAAATTTTGCACATTTGTGTAAAGTTGAAGACAATGCATGAATCAAATGTCAAAATAAATGATTTTAAAAATTAATAAAAAATTTTTTTTTCAATATTAAAAAAATTGAAAAAATAATTTTGTCAGCTACAAATCTTATAACTGATATTTGACACACTTTTATGATTTTAATTCTCGATTGCGATATAGAATCTGCATGTGCTAAACAGTGGAACTCTGTCGGAAATAGCTTATTAAAATGAAAATAAAAATAGCAGATAATGAATGGCAAGCTAATAAGCTAATATATGTTTTTAGTAAATACTATGATTGCAGAAAACACTTAATTTATGACGATACACAATTCTAACAGACAATTTAATGTTTCCTGAAAGGTTAATGTTGATATTCCGACATAGCTTAGAAAATGCATAGTTTTACTGTAGTTACTCGATATTGCATTGCACATAGGTAGGTACTAATTTTTTCAACTACCTACTGTACTATAGGTACTATTTTTTTCAACTAGCTACTAGATTGATGTGGTCTGTCTCTGGATCACTGAAGTCAAATTGTGTTAACCGATGCATAAAAAATTTAGCCTCCGAAATGGGCAATATTACACTGACTATATTAATATAATGACTATATAAGAACAAGTGCATAAAAACAAAATAAAATCCCGCAATTTCTCTATTCTGCAATAAAAATCACATTTTGCTAAAACGATTTATATTTTGTACAAACGATTTATATTTTTGTACATCTTTTTATGTATAAAACTTAAACAGAGAAAGAGCAAATAAAAAGGACATTAAACGGTTTACGAATCATTCAAATCTTCTGCAATATTTTATGTGAATCACATCCGTTGTCACTTATCCTCAAGCGAAATAATAATTTCTAGAATTTCAGTAAATATCACATTTCGGCAGCGCAATTCCAATTTTGTACCTCCATCTTATCAGAGAAAGAACTATAAAGAAAGCGACTCGAAACGTATACTACTCATTCAACACTTCTGAAGCTTTTTATCGGTATCATCTTCGTTGTCGCTTATCCACGAAGACCGGTGTTCGGGCTTGAGTTTGCAGTCATCACATAGCATCCAAGTAGACAATACGTTTGAGTTCAAATTTATCAATGCTCCTGTAACTGATGCTAAAGTTTTGGACTGAAACTCCGCTTCATTTGTTATATTTTCAGTCTTGTTCTTGATGCCCTCGATCTTCGTTTCCTTCTCCTGAGCAGATGCAATCAGTTCGCGGGTTTGGGATTCAAGTTTTGATTACTCAGCAAGAAACTTTTTACGGGTTCCCGCCAAGTCGGCAATCGTTTCCTCGACAAGCATCTTTTTCGCAGTCTTGGTGGAACTTTGCTCCTGGATGTTCCTCAAGATCCCATCGATAG